ATAGGCTCGTTTAGGCTCATTTAGGCTCGCGAACCCACTAATCGAAGCTCGGCTCGAGCTCGTTTAACAAACGAGCCTCATATTTAGGCTCGAGCTTGGCTCGGGCTCGTTTAATTCGATCTCGAGTCGAGCTTTTAACGAGTCGATCCCGAGTAGCTCGGCTCACTTACACCCCTACTTATTGTTATAAGATTGTATTATTTTTGTCCGACAGAAGGTTTTGTCTTATTATAAGATTATAACCTCTATCAAAAAATTAAAAAAAAAACAACTATATTAAGATATAGGATATCCTATGTCATAAATAAAGAATATATAAGAATACATTAATAAATAATATATAAAAATATAATAACATTACAGTGATAATATCATATGTAAGAAAAAAGAATGCAATCAAATATAGTAAAACAAGATCTTATGTTAGACGAGATCTTATACAATAAAATTACATAAAGTAAATACGATCTTTCAAGACAAAAGTATATAGTAACATTACAGTAAAATAATATTATCTTTCATACAAAAATAATTCAATTATAATAAAAGAATATTTTTGTCATTTTCTATTAAAAATGAACATGGATTTATCGTTAATAAGTCTAAAGAACTTTCTAAAGATTACCGACTAAAATCCCAAATATGTAGACATTTACCTGTGTCTTGTCATTTTAAACAATTGCGTGTATTTTTTTATCATTTCTTGTTCAAAAAATAAAATCATTATTTTATCGACCTAAAATATAGGAATTTTGTTGATGATTTCCTATAGATATAAATTAGATAAGAATAAGAATGGAGTAGCTTTGACATGAATCGACTTTTTTTGTCAAGCCTTGGGTCAGGGCAGGTGCCCATATATGTAGCTCTAATAAGGGTGACAAATCAGACAATCGTGTCGTGTTTTTGTCTGACACGATACGACATGACAAAGTTTTATACAACACGAACATGACACGATGCCGTGTGTTTTTTAATCTAAAACGAAAACGAACCAATTAAAAAACGACAAACACGACACGAAAAGATAACATAAAATAACAATTAGTTTATTTAATTAATATTTAATCATACATAACAAGACAAACATGAAAAACACAACAAACAAATGTTAAATCATGTCACATTTTGAACACGACACGACATCATGTCTTTTACACTTAACACAAACACAAATTCAAATTTCAGTGTCGTCTCAATTTCGTTTCACGTCGTATCATCAATTGAAAGCCAACTCTAGTAGTAATCACAAAATAACGTGTAAGTTTTAAGGTTTAAGCTTGAATTTTGTTTACTTAAACCACATTTAGATTTAAAGATCAAGTTCAACAAAGCCCAAGTAGCTCGAACTTGAACCTAAAAACCTTTAACCAAATTTCAAGCTATATTTAATGGGCTTTAATAAGGTATGATAAGAGTGCAAGACCAATCGATTTAAACACAAATTTGGGCACCAATTCAATGTTTAATTACATTCAACACCCAAAGTCACCAAATGAAACCGAGTCTCCTTCAACCACGTCTAACTTTCACAATTCAACTACAGCAATGTTAACTTATATTCACAAACTGGTCCCACATGCTTAAATTAGCAGTAAGAAAGTAAGAATACATAGCACAACGCATGTAAGGCCCTAGGGGGTTGACAAGTGTATCTTATTCTTTTTTTTTTTTTTTTAATATTCACAACTGCATATATAACTATATAAAATAATATTAAAAAAAAACGCGCATTTCACATCATGCACCGATTTACATAAATATAAAACTCATTCAACCGATCGATCAAGTTGATCAAACATGGTGAACTCATTTCTTGAACATGGCGTATTTTCATGATCGCTTTTTCTTCCTTGAGCTTTGTGAGTTTGACTTTGACCCAAAATAAAAATCAAAATATGAGATTGCCTTTTAACGTATGTGCGTTCTTCCAAAGGACGATGCACCAATTTCACTCTCCGTATTCTGCATAACATGATTAAAGTCATAAACACACTTTTTAGTAATTCAACATCATTTTTAGACACAAGGGTAAATTAGTCATTTACTATCATTCAATCACAATTGTCAAAATATTACCTGAGATTTAGGTGAAGGAAATACGTTCCAAAATCGAAGAGTTTCATCTCCAGCTCCTGTCACAATTGTCTGCAAAACCCATTATTTGTTATTCAAATTATAATTATTTAATTTATCACTAAATTCACAACCAAAAAAAATTAATTAAAATATCCACCTGTCCATCTGGTGATATTGCAAGGTAGAGAACTCTATACGTGTGCCCAGTAAGTGTCGCAAGCTGCATTACCAATCACAATATTAAAAAAAAAAAATCATCATATATTGCATATTGATTTAACAACATAATATAATTTTGACCATATTTTCATGGTCAATTTTGAAAGAAATGTTACCTTAGACATTGTAGGGTATCTCCAAACAATAATTTGGTTTTGGGAGTATCCATGGGTGCTCACAAGTTCGTTGACATTTTTTGACCATACAAGATTGCATACCTGTTTCATAGTAACAATAAGAGTTAGTGTTCTATTTGTGAAATGCCTAAACTACCCTTTGACAATGACAAAAATACGAATGCAATTACCTGGCTACCGGTATCCATGCAACTGAGGTGAGAATTGGTGGTTGTGTTCCAAAATCTTATACATCTGTCTGCAGTGCCTCCACCAGAAGCCAAGAGCCCATGAAGATGTGGAGACCATGCAATTGCTTTCACTGCAGCCGTATGCTCACAATATTTCAAAACCGGTTGTGTCGAATGTTGGTTCCAAACAAAAAGCTACAAAAAAAAAATCAAAATTTTGTCCCGTTGTCATAATTGTTAATCCAATGTTGGTCTGTCTGGTCCACATGTGGACCAGGCAGACCAAGACAGACCAACTCTATTGGTCTGTCTTGAATAGGACAAAAAAGCTCGTTTTTTTGTCCTATTCATACAATGCATGTGGACCAGTACTGGATAGGACAAAAAATGCTGATATTTTGTCCTATTCGTACAATGCATCTGAAGCACGGTAAATAAATGACATACCCTGTTATCGTTTCCGCCTGACGCTAATTCACGATTGTCGTAAGACCACTTGAGACCGCAAACCTAAAAGGTAGATGTAAATATGTAAGATTAATAAAGATACAAATAGATAGTGTACAAAATTGATTTATAATTTTATATGACATGTGGGAGTTTAGGAAAGAAAATCTTGCCTCTGATTTATGACCATTTAGCTTACTAACAAAATCTTGTTGTGCACGAGGGTCTCTTTGAAGAATACTTTTATCTCGACTTCCTGAAGATAACATTGAAGAACTCCAAGCAAGTGCACCCACACGTAATCTATGTCCTTCCATTGTTCTTACTCTTTTACATCGAGAGGCATCCCAAATCTAATTTTTTTTTTTTTTTAAAAAAAAAGTTGGTTTAACAAAAACTAAAAAAGAAGAGTTGACTTTTACAAATCTTGAAATTAATATTTTGGAAAGATGACTTTACGTTTTTATAATGTCACTTTTAAAGAAACCAACTAGAAAAACATTTCTTATCAAATTTCACATTTTGGGAAGATTCTACAAACATTGTTAAAGTAGCTTTTTGCTTTATTGTTAAAGGGAAAAGGGAAATGCTTTTTGATACTTGAGAATTGGATTTAAAGTCAAATACTGTTTTTTGGTAATGCTTTTTCTAGATACCTCTCTTTCTTGAAAATTCTCTACCCTTACTCTTTAATTTCCACAATTAGTATACATGTGTAGTGTATATAAAGTATATTTCAAAAGTCTTTTTTAAGATAACTTCACTATACATTTTAATTTTAGACATGGGCACCGACTTATATAAAAGATATAGTGAAATACCATTCTACCTCATGAATAATTGATTCTGAATTTCTGATAATATTCATGTATCATGTTTTCAAGTATATAACAAAACAAAACCATTAAACTACAAACATTACCTGTACTTTTCCATTGCTAGTCCCAACAGCAAGACTAGTCCCCCTTTGTGCCCATCCAACTGAACAAACACTATCATCAATTCCCAAATCGCATAATTTTGTTACCTACGTTTGCGTTAAACTTAAATCATCAACAAGAATGTGACAAAATCAAACGAAAATCGACTTAAAATACATGAAGTTTAATGGATTTTAGACTTTAAAAATCAGAAATTTACCTTACTGCTACAAGCATTCCATAAATAAACACAGTTGCCTAATCCCACAGCCAACACATTGTGAGAAGACCAATCAACGAGATTCAGGTAGAAATCATCTTGCAATGCTGGTGCATCCAAAACCTAAAAACCCACAAAAATTAAGAATCTTTTACCCAAAGATACCGAAAATTTACGACCCCAACACCAAAATTAAGCTGTTTAGTACTCAATTAAATAGTGAATGATTAAAGGGCATGTTATCGAATTAACAAAAGTTGTTGAAAATGTAAACCTTGTAAGGAGATCTGGGAACTTTTCTTGGAGCTTTAACAGGGCTATGACTAACCCCAGGGGAGTGATCATCGAAGCCAAGCGGAGACAATGAATGCAAAGACTGTCTAGTCTCGCTCTTGAACCGAAAAATATTATGGCTTGCCGGAGAAGTGTTGACTGAAAAGCTCTTCTTATCGGGGGTACCAGGAGGAACAACAAACCCCAGATCCGACCCGAACAATGCGGTTCTTAAAAGAGCAGTGTAGGCGGCGGATGAGGAAGAATTATCTTCACCACGGGAAGCATCAGACGGCGGAGGAGGTGGTGGTGGGGAGATGTCAAAGAGGGCGAAATTGGAGGCGGATCGGCAGGGGATGAAGCGATCGCTGTAGATAGTGCGTGAAGGAGATGGGTGGTAATAATTTAGAGAAGAAGGGGTTGTGGGTTCTTGTGATTTTGAGGGAGGATTCGATTGAGACGAAGAAAGTGATGATTGATTGTTCATACCGGAGATTGATGGATTGTCCATGGAGGATGGAATCGATTCCTTTTCAACGGGGTATCGATTATTTACCGGGAATGGCCTGATAGGGCTTTGCCGCGGAAAATAATATTTGTTGGGAGTTTTTTTCCCCTTTTTTTTTTTTTTTTTTTTGGTTGTTTTACCTTAAGAATTTTAATTTTGATCAAGGAAAGTTGTATTTGAATTTGAATGTATATTTATTGTTTTTTATTTAAAAACTCTTTTTTATCTATATATAATCCAATCCAAGGTTATCCTATATAGGGTTGTTTTTCGTTTTGTAGGGCCGTGATCATAAAATTAAATCAGGATCATAAGATCCTATCAAAAACATTTTAAAACATAAAAATTACATTTTTATTTATCAGTTAACAAAATTTAAAGTATAATAATGATGTTTTCAACAAAATTGACATGTGTTCCATGTTGGGAAAATATCACAATGTACTCACCTTAGTAGCTAGGTATGTCTAACTACACTAATTCATTTGTCCTTACTCTTGATCTCTTTAAAGTTTACTTCAATCTATATAAGATTGTTGTATAAAAATGTTAGTAATGTAACAAACAGTTATACATATAACAATATCTATTTATATTTGTAATTATTCCAATTTCACACAAGTGTAGTATTATTTTCTTGGAAAAATAATCATTTTTCTAAATTTACCTTTTAGTGATATTCCAACTAATACACTTTAACTAATACAATTGACAATTTATCCAATTCCATGAACTATTTGAAAGCTATTTGTCCTTTGCTCAAGGTTAATTCAAGAATCAGTTTATTTCCAATTCTATAAATTAATCACAAGATGTAATGTTATCTTGAAGTTCATATAAACTATGTTTGAACCTTAAATTACATGTTCACGTGAAACATTATTCTTTCTAATATGAATATTCATTAATACTTTGCTTCATTAGAACTAATTACCATCATAAAAATGCTAATTTAAATTAATCTCATAGTAATTATCCCATAACTAAGCTCTAATACTTCATAATCCTAAATGATTCTTCATCATTACAAGTCACTATCCATAAATAACATATTGATCATCGTCACAGAGTAATTATCAAATGACAATTTCGAAATGCAAAAGCCTTTAAAAATTAGGGTTCACATGTTCATTCCCAATTTCACAATTAGCTCTCACATTTAAGAAGAATATGATCCTTACCATGTTTATCTCCTAATTTAATGATAATATCATTGAAAGCTTGACAAAAATCTTGCAACCTTGGCTAAATTCCAGAAACTTTGATTTTGAACTTCATGATTTGTTTGAGAGAGTTTATTGATATGCTAGTCGAAGATTGGCCGACTCAGGTCACGCGACCTACATGGTCTATGGATCTTATCCATGTGAATGTGTCAAAACACCTGGTTCCTCATGCCTTAGAAAAATTTTCAGCATAAAAACCATAATTTTCCATAACTTCAATGAATCTTATAATGATGGAAAGCTTGTAGCGAGCTTTACAACTTTCTCATACCTTAGAAAAATATGAAATCCGATTGTAATGAATCTTATAGTGATGGAAAACTTATCACAAGCTCTACAAATTTTGTATTGAGTTCTTGCTAAGAGTTTCCAATTCTTGATTTATAATGTCCTAAACATGAGTGGCTGGAAAAACTTCCACCATTTTATGCGTTATTTTCTTTAAATATTCATAATTCACACATCTCAAATGTAATTTCCATGATTCTGCTCATCGATACTTCAGATTCCTACTCCATATTAGCCTTTTGTCCTTGATATCGACTTCTAGACTCTTAAAACGACATTTTTGATGTATATTTTCCATGTTTTTCTGATTAGGTTAAAGAGAATGACGTATATATAGTTTTTCTGCTTTCACACATATGCATAGCATACGTATTTGGGACGCATCACATTCAATATTTCTTCCCCAACAATTTAGCTTCGCATAAGGCAATCCACTTTCGAGTCAAATTCCTAGGTCAACACGGTGCATCATGGGTTTGGACGCAACGAACATGTCTTTTTTTTTTCAACAATTTTCAAATCTGGTCCAACTTTAGCTCCTTTCCTTTCAACAACTCCATTTAATCTGTTAAATATAAATTTAAAGCATTTTAAGTACCTTTTTTTTAATCTTTATTAACATGAACATACAACATAAATGTTTCCATTTAATTCGTACTCCTCTCAACCCATGCATTTTTACCACAACCAATCTCAACCAATACCTCGTCCAAATTTAGATCTTGATTCGTTTGAGACGGTTCAAGAAACTCAATTATTTTCACAACCTCAACCCCAAAGTAATTTTCAATGCCAACCATGCGGCCTACTCGACGAGTCAACAAATTCTTCCGATGAAGGACCCATTGAAGAGCCCGTTCAAGAGTCATTTGAAGAACCCGAAGTCGAACCAACAAGAAAAAAAGGAAAAAAAAAAGATGGCTCCATGCAAAGGATGGACGGATGATGAAGAGATCGCACTAGTGCAAGCATGGCTAGATGTGTCGAAGGATCCAGTGACGGGTGACGACCAAGATTCAAGAACCTTCAAAGCCAGAGTTTGGCATAATTTTTGTCACCGAATGAAAAGGCGGTACCACAATCCGATCAACTTTACTCGAAATGGAGGACCGCCAACAAAGCCTCAATGGAGTTTCACGACATCTACATAAACACGATCCGCAACCCCCAAAACGGTGCAAATGAGGTGGATATGTTAGCAAAAGTTCGTAAGATTTACAAGGCAAAAGTCGGAAAACCTTTTGGCAATGAGGCGTTTTGGGGAGTTATGAAGGGCAAACCAAAATGGCTTAATCTAAGAAGTGTTGATGATTACGCGAACACTTCCAAACGAAGCAAAACTTCCGAGACCACCCACAGTCAATCTTACGATGCGCGTATCGGAGGGATTGAACTCAACAATGATGATCCTTATGAAGTTTCAACTCGTCCGATGGGACGAGACAAAGCAAAATGAAAGCTGAAAGGAGCAGAAAGTTCATCGACTGAAGTGGAGGAGATAAGGAGCGACATCAAAGGATTGGACGCTAAGGTTGAGGGTTTTTTGGATTTGGGAAGGATAAAAGAAGGGAACCGTGTGATTAAAGAAAGGAACCGTGCGTTAAAACTTTTCTTAACCCCGGTAGAAAACTTGTCCGAAGAGGATCATCAGATTTTTAACAATGCAAAGTAGGATCTTGCTAAAGAATACAATTGGGATAAGCCATAGTATTTATGTAATATGTTTTTTTATGTATTAAGTCGTGTTTTTCGGTGCTAAGTCATGTTTGTCGTGGTTTGAATTATTAAATCATGTGTCTAGGTATTTTTAAGTTTTAATTTATTGTAACTTTTTAAAATTAATATGAAATATTTTTGCTTAAAAATATAATTTATATTATATTAGATGTTCGTGGTTTAAAAAAATAAAATTTGTTCAATATTTGTGCATAAAAGTGTTTGTGTATTAAAATAAAGTAATTTAATTAAATTAGAAAAAGAAAAAAAAAGAATGTTAGGAGTGTTACCACTCCCTACCAAATGCTAATTTATGTGCTAAATGGAGAACAATCAAATGCTAAGATTATATGATAAATGAAGAAAAATGAGATGACACTTAAAAAACTGTCATGACAATATTTTAAGAGTGTCCCTCCACCTTAGCTATTAAAAAAAGGGTTGTACTATAAATACCCCTTAATCAATTTTACACCCATAACATCAATCTAATCAATCATTTACATTTAATTTCACATCATTTTTTTTTGTTTCTTTCCCTTTTTGTTTTTTTTCCTTTTCTTTTTTTTTC